CCTGTCCCAAGCCTTTGCACCCTGCTGCAGCAGACAGGAGGAAATCTGCTTTGGCTCTGCCGAAGCAAAGCTAAAACAAAGTCAGACAGATGATTTTTTGGCTGCAGATATGCTGAAAGAAAACGGTGAAAAAACCGAGCGCGACCTCAATCCACACTGTGGCTGTGGCCTGCAGCAGTCCCTGCAAATGCTGTGGTGTGCCACGAATTCCCCCCAGCTCTGCTGCCCTGGGCACACCGCTGATGTGGTGGATTTATCCGCCCCGGGAAAGAAACCCTGCCAACAAAACCACCCTGGATCATCTCCAGCTGCTTTTGCTCGTTAATTGCCACAGGGCAATTCCACACAGCTTAGAAAGAGCATCCCATGCAATGACAGTCACAGCAAAGGCCAACAGCCACCCTGAATATTTCTGCGTCACGGAGTACTCCCTAAAGGGCAAATTTTCCTATTTCTAAAAACAAGAATTCTGCTCTTCTTATTCTAGGTCACTTGTAGAACCACACAGATAACGGATCTCAACAAAATGTCACTAATGATAAAGACCGGGGTTTTTCAAAGTGTGTTTCTGAAGGCAGGCAGGCAGGCACTTTATTTAGGTGTCTTAGTGGAGGGGGGCAATTTTTACACACAATTTCCAAGACTCGCTTTTGAAAGCACTGGCTTATACTTGGATATACTTGGATATTGTAAAATTAAGCAGGCTGGTCTGGGTGTTGCACCAGAGAAAGGAAAAGTGCAGTGGTCGTTTCAAACGCTGATTTACTAAACAGGATGGGACCAGCCTCACCACCCTGCGTGCCACAAACATTGCTATTTTCTGCCTCACTGTGACCACACAGAACTGAGTCACCTAATTCGTAGCTGCCAGTGCAACGTAGACAGCTCGTGGCTGATGGAAACATCAGCCTGGATGTTATCCCAAAGCACGTTCCTCTGCTCCCGGCTCCACAGAAATTTTTGTTGCAGCTGAACAGCTTGCAAATAACACAGTATAAACACACACGATGTGCGAAGGATGATTTTGCAAAATGGGGGGCTTTCGATGGCTGCGCCCTGGACTCTGGAGCTTGGCACCTGAATGGTGCTTCCCCACAATCTCCCCTGTGGTTCAACAGCCATACCCCGGGGAAAATTCCGCAAGTCGCTATTTTCAGCAGCCAGTTGGTAAAATAATTACTTTTGGCTGAACGAAATTAAATGTCACTGAGCCATAATCAAAACATTGTTTTGTTTTCAGAGAACACTTGAGCTCGAAGGCCACTGAGCCCATCCCTGCCCGTGCTGAGGTGGTGGCCACGCTGCGTCTCAACACACAGGGCGAAATAACATAGACTTGTTTCCACTTTTCTCTGTTCTCACCTGAATGACTGGATCAAGGTTAAACAACCGCAGACAGAAGGGAAAAGATCCCCGACTGGGGTGGAAATGTGAAACACGTCAGATGGAGTTTGTTTTTTAATTGCCGTCAGAGGTGCTCAGGGGTTGTGGCCAAGAGAGCAAGAACAGACAGGGCTGTCTGCAGGATGGGAGATTTCTGGTGGTGAAGTCCTCTTGGGGTTTTTTTGGGACAGTTACATGTAAGACACCAAAGGAATGGCTCAGAACTACTATCCCCACCTACAGTGTTTCTTTTCCTTTACATTTACGGTAATGATGTTTGGGCAACAGTTTGCTTTTCTCAGTTCCCAGTTACTATTCATTGTGAAACTTGGTAAGATTGGCCATGTTGTAATGTTACTCCACGAGTATGTGGATAAAGACATTTTTCTTCAACAATTCTTTTCTGTATTCATGAACCTATCCCATTGTTTGAGTCATTCCTTAGGGCGTATCACATAGTTGGCATTGCTCTGGCAGAAACCTTCTGCTATCCCTTTCGTTCTTATTACTGTATATATAAAACATATGTGGATGTTTTTTGATACTTTGTCCGGCCACTTAAACACTGAGTTCCACAGTGAATTGCAGAAATTTTCATCATTGTGACTTCGGCATGGTTTGGAGCAATGGGCAGATCTATAAGAACAAATACTAAAGTAAAGTCCACGTAATACAAACTGCAGACCACAAAGATCAAGTTACGAATTGAAATACTCTGAAGTTCTTAGCGGAAATAATTAGTCTGAAATCAAAGTTTCTACCCTAACCCTGACCATGTGTGCACAGGAAAGGGATTCATTTGGTTATACTACAAAACAGCTTTCCAAACTAAGCGCACAGCAAGTGCTGCTTTTATTTTTCTTCACAAATGTAAAATTCTTATTTTAGGTTATCTAGCCCTTCAACTTAAATGTGAAATTAAATTAATTTCACAATCACTGCTGTTAAGTTACTTTTTTAAATTCAATTCAGAACTTCATGGAATATCTGACTCCTAGTCTGCTTAATGAAACTTGACCTTCTAAGACAGCAACCAACTAAAAATGCCTCTTATGCCTTTTTCAGTTGCAGGAAATACTAAGGAAATACTACTGACAAAGGCTTCAGGGAGAAAACATTTTCAGTGCACAAAATAGCATTTTAAAGGTAATCTTGAACGAGAACCTTTGGTGTCCTACAACTTTTTCAGTATCTGAGAATTACCTGCTGTCATAAAACTCTCAGGTGGCTGAATAGTGCTTTGGCAGACAGGTTTGTCTTTGCCCGCAGTTAGGGCCAGATCTATAGAACACCTGTCTATGTACTGAGGAGCAAATCTTATCCTCAGAAATTCAAATCTACAAGCATATTTGTGTTGGAATAAAAATTTACTTCTATTCACGTATGGGATCGCAAAATGTAAGGTAAAACAGTAAAGTGACAGCAGATCAGCCTACATTTTTTATACTTCACTTCATTAAAAGAAGTTATCTTTAAATCCTTTATTATGCTGCCCTGTTCTTTTTAAAACATGGCTTTATTGCTGTTCATGCGTTTAATGTTCTTGACGGTAGATGTAGCATCCAGGTTTGATCTTATTCATCATCTGATGTAAAAGGGTACATTTCTAAGCTAAAGATACCACCTGGGCACCCACAGAAAGGATGTGTGAATGTCCTCATGTTCCCTTTTGCCACAAAGCAGCAGAAGTTTTCACACTGACGTTTGCTGATAGGGAACAGACTGATACCCACGTGTGCCCACGTGTGAGCATCTGTGACCACAGACCCCAGGGGGTTTTCTGAAGGGGCAGGTTTTGACACTTGTAGACAGAGAGTTTCTGGATATTCCCAGGTTCCCTATCACTGAGGAAAGGGGGCATGTGAAGGGCACTGCTGGCACTCTGGTAGAAACTCCAGTACTCATGTTACTGTAGCTGTGATGACCTATACGGGTGTAAGTGAATCTACTTTTGTAAAGGCAAGCTGCACCTTGCCAGCCTGACTGAAGCTGGGTGAAAGCCTCTCTCAAGTCTTCCCCTACTTCTTTTCAGGCTGGAGAGTTTTGCCTTTTTGCTGGTTTTGGACTCTCTGCATCTTGATTATGACAACAAACTCCCCAGAACAAAGCACACTAGTCCTTTCTTGTGTGCCACAAAACAGATACACAACTCTTGCTGCCCTAGGAGTCGTTTTCTTTTTAGAAAGAGGTTTGATGTTTTCATCCTAGGTTTGATGTTTCCTTTTTATCCATTTTCTGTAATTTAACTAGAGACGATGTTATCAGTGTCAGCCTAATTGTACTGAACCTCACAAAGGTCTTGCCCTTGATGATATTGAGGCAAAAGCTTCCACAGCTTTTGTGTCTCATAAAAAACCTGGTGTGACATCTCATAGACTTAGAATACACCAAAGGTATGAAACACATATATATTATTTTCTCTCTGTGATATACTCAGCTTCAAATTCAGTTATGGATGAGGGATTTTCATTTTCCTCCATATGACTACTCTCAGTACACTAGGAACAGTATCTGTTATATGCTAGGAAGAACAGAAAATTCCCCCAAACAAAGCAGACTAGTTAAATCATACGAGATTATTTCTAAATAAATCATAAACAAATTATGTCTACCACTTTTGCTGCCTTATTAGTAAAAGTGGTTGATAAGTACATCAAAAGTAGCTCTAAAGCGTGTAGATTGTGAAAATTCAGCTAATCGTGGAATCACAGAACGGTTTGGGTTGGAAGGGACCTTACAGACCACCTAGTTTCAACCCCCCAGCCACAGGCAGAGACACCTTCCACTAGACCAGGTTGCTCAGAGCCCCATCCAACCTGGTCTTGGAACACTTCTGCAGATGGAGAGTCCACAACCTCTCTGGGTAACCTGTGCCAGTGCCTCACCACCCTCATAGTAAAGAATTTCTTCCTGATATCTAATCTAAACCTACCATCCTGCAGCTTGAGGCCATTCCCCCTTGTCCTATCACTCCAAGCCTTGTGAAAAGTCCCTATCCAGCTCTCTTGGAGCCCTTTTAGGTACTGGAAGGTGCTCTAAGGTCTCCCCAGAGCCTTCTCTTCTCCAGGCTGAACAGCCCCAACTCTCTCAGCCTGTTTTCATAGGAGACATTTTCCAGCCCTGCGATCAACTTAGTGGCTCAGCTCTGGACTCGCTCCAGAGGCAGTTGGGTTGGCAATCCTAACAGAGTCTGTGTGGGGAAACTGTCAACACATACAGTTTATGTGCAGTTGCAGATCTTGGTACAGTGCTGCTCCATTGTGCCTGGGCCAACACGGGAAGCGTGCCCTGTCAGCAGCAGTGCTTCCGGCCACACTCAGCACTGATCCCTCTCCATATTGCCCCTTCCCACCACCACCACGAGTATTAATTAAAAGTGATTCATGAAAAAGCTTTCACCATGCTGCAGTTTGATTTCTACTCCAGATGGCCCTCAGCGAGGGAGCCAAAGAGCTGGGCCATTTGACCTCATGTGCCCTTTTTTTAACTCACAGCAAGCATGTCAGCACTGCCATAAACATCACACCTCCTGTGATAGGGCTGCCTGGCAGGCTCCACTGACTTTTGTCACCCTCTTAATCACACTTCCTCCCGATATGTCCCGGTGCTGCACTGACCTGTTGGAGCCAGGGCTAGCAGCCAAGACGTGGGGGGCTTGGGAAGGAGGCATGTGCCACTTCTCAGATCCTTTGCTCTCTCCTGAGTGGCAAGGCTTGGTTACTTCAAGTCCTTCTTGCAGTAATTTTGAAAAAAGCCTGTTAGGGAAATGGAAAATAAAGAGTATTTCAGTACCCTTTATTAAGCACTGCACCTACATTTTTTATTTAAATCCACTGCAATTTGTTGTGAGCTTGAGAAACTTCCCTTACCCTCACAGACCAGTCCCCAAGACACGCCCAGTCCCCTCAGTGTCTCCAGAGCGCTCCTGCAGCTGATGCACACAGCTCAACTTCCACCAAAGCTGTTCTGTGGTCTCCCTCTTTGGGGATCATGTGAGAACACAAAAGTAGACATATGAACAATGTACATTTTCACCCAGATTACAAAACACTCATTCCACTCACCATATGGAGATGGAAACACAGACAGGCCAAGGCAACTGCAAGGCTGCATCCAGCTTGAGGGGACTAAGAACCATCCCCAGCACCCACCTGGGGTAGCACTGGCAGCCTGTGGCACCAGGTATTACTCCTGCACCCTGAGAAATGTACATCAAGTATCACTGTCCCTCAGGTTTGATGTTTTCTTTTTATCCATTTTCTGTAATTTAATTAGAGATGATGCTATCAGTGCCAGCCTAATTGTACTGAATTACCTCACAAAGGTCTTGCCCTTGATGATATTGAGGCAAAAGCTTCCACAGCTTTTGTGTCTCATAAAAACCCCCACACTTTCTTACATTGGGTTTAAGCATGGTGTATTTTTATCACGCTTCTTGTTATCTTTTATTATATATTTACTTCAATTTACTGAAATTTTCTATAGCCTGAAATATGTTTTAAATGCTTCATGAAAGAATCAAAATTAACCTTCTAATTTACCAACAAACTAATCTCCCAGAATGAATCAGTAAAACCTCCAAGCCATTTTCAAGTAAAGTGATACCACATTGCCAGAATGACAAGCGCAGCATTGCCTCACAGATGATAAACCAGAACTGAATTTGAGAAACCTCACACAGACTTTCTACAGTGAATCATCTTTTTTTTTTTATTGTTTTTAGGTGGGGGTTGAAGAAAGGCTGATTCATCCCACTCTGAAATTGTTTTCTGTTTCAATACAATACAACTTTGTTTTCTGCAACACCTTTTGAGCAATATTGGAAGAGCAGAATAACAATTAAATCAGTCCCAGCAGAAGAGAAAAACAAGTCTGGGGACAGGAAGAGGCATTTTCCGTCTGAGATTTAGGAAGGAGTGGAGAAGCAATGAGGCAGTTTTACAAAAAAAAAAAAAGCCTCTCTCAAGGCAAACAAAATTAATCTGTTTAAAACGGAAACAAAGATTCTGAAGCCAGGGAGAGAAATGGTCACTATTGAGAGAAAAAGAAGATACTGGGAGTCATGGGCTTTCCAGTGAGGCCCTGGGAGCTGTTTCTTTGCCCTCATGGGAGCAGAGTGCTGAGGACACGCCAGTTTTGCCGCAGCACTGGCGGGTTGGTGGCGTCAGAGATGCTCCGGAGCAGCGGGAGGAAGCAGTGGATGAGGATGCAGTGATACCATCGAGGCAGCACAGAACGCTCTGGGAGCACCAGGCACTGACACGCTCACAGGGCGGAAGTAAAAGATGAAACAGTTGCCAAGATAGCAAGTGGCTAAAATAGCAGGTAATAAGAAGGATAAGTCAGGTTTGGGAATGCATCTCTTGCCCAAAATTAGGATGTCTGGCTTTGAGACTTCTAGCAAGGAAGCTGAAACAAACCCACAAGCTTTCTTACTCAGACAGCCAGAGTGACTGTGGGTAGCCACTAGCTGTGACTAATGCCACAGAGATTCTTACCAGTGCTGAGCCCATGCAGGTCCTGCATCTTGCAGTAGGAGGTACATGGTAGGCACTGAAGTCAGTCACTCACGTACCTCTTGCCTATAAATTTAGGAGAAAAATATTGCCTGCACATTTAATTCTCAGAGCCTTGGGTAAACTGATGTACTTGGTGAAGTCATCCCAGGAAAACTGTTTGCCAGGAAGGATTTGAAGGAGGAGAAGAGGATGGCTTGGCATCTCTATTGCAGCAGCTGTTCCCAAAGATGCTGCAGATGTTGTTGCCTCCTGCAGAAGGAGCAGCTGTCTCCCACAAATATGCTCCTGTGACGTGGTGGTGTTCCTCCAGGCATGAAGGATGTTGGACTCAACCCCTCTAGTATCACCCTCTCTTCTCCAAGACACCCACCGTAACCACATCTTCACCCCTTTTTAACTGCAGTTTGAGGTGACTTGAGCATTAGAGGTCCTTTATCAGCCTCAGAATACTGGGTGTTGTTTTCTCTCAACTGGTGAGACATAAGAGACATGATCTCAGCTATGCGGCTCCCCAGCAAACAAACTGCCACCTCCCATAACTCAGAAAAGGACATTTCCTTCTTGGTGCACGAGTGAAAGATGCCAGAGTGCCCCAGTGCTGCCAGTGTCACAGGAAGAGAGCAAAAAGCAAGAAGGAAAAAAGTCCTCCTCACACAAGTGAAAGCAGAGGAAATTCAGGGCGATGGGGGCAAGAACATCTGAAACCTTTAGCATAAACGACTGTCCTTAGCTCCTGGCTGCCCTCACAGGCAGTTGTGTGGCATATAAACGACTACATTAGTGAGGAACGAGACACTAATCAGATCGAGGTTTCAGGCTATTTGCTTCCCTCCTAGATAATGGTCTATCAAAATATAAACCACCCCAGCCCAGTTTCAAAACATGAACACAGCACGAAGGTGGGGTAAGCCAAGGGCATTCCTTCCCTGCTGGTTCTCAACCAAATGTTATTACTGATCCTCATTTAAAAAAGAGCAGTTAGGCACAGAACAATGTCTATCAGACCCACCCCAAAGAAAATCTTGGTTGCTGTCCACATAGAGCATCAAATACTTTTGCCTAAGGCACAGAGGTGCTGTTCCTACAATCCATACATATTTTAGAACCACTGAGAGGCACAATGGGGAACATAGCTACTGAAACGGTCCTGCTGCTGCCTTTCCTGTGCATGGATACTCAGGCATTTCTCATGGCTTACCTGGAGGGGAGCAGACTGCATTGCATGAGGGTTTGGATAACAGCCAGCCTGGTGTGGATTCCCATGAGGGAAGCTCTGCCATGCTGACCCTGTCACTACATGCACCTTGAAGCTCCCAGGTGTGGGGGATTAAGGGCAGCTTCCCTGTGTGACAACTTTTTTTTTTTTCTAAAAGGCAACTGAGCTTACTCTGCATTGTCATATATTCTCTAAAGCAGCAAAGAAACAAAAAAGATATTTTATTTTTAAAAATTGATTTAAATTATTGTAAATTTACTTAGATTTCTAAAGCAAATAAAGGGTTTTTACATGCACAAGGCTGTTTGTCGTGGAAAGCAGTTTCCAAAAGGAAACCCACTCATTATCTAGTTCAAGCTAAGTTAGAGAATGGCAACCTCCTGGTGACTTCTCCTGGCTCCCAGGTAAATCCACTACACCCTTCCCCTGAGTCTCACATCTCCCTAAACCTCAGCAGAATGGACTACACATGTATTTTATCTTTTGTAAAAAGACCGCATGGATTTTGAATTGAAAGCCTTCAAGGTATTTCGTGATCTAGAAATAATACAGTAGTTTATGTTTTGCGTGACTTCCTACTGTATCCTCTTGATAAAATGAAGGCCATACGCCTCCACAATTTTCCATTTGCACGGAATTCCACCAGTTTAATCAAAGTGAAACATAAGGTACTGTTATGGTCCTTGTACCTTCAGATTTCCTTACTGGTAACCCACATATAATCCGTTAACCCATTGCATCATTCAGAAGAATAAACAACCTGGGCTCAGCATACAGGAAGCTGAAAAAAGAGGAAATAGAAAATATTAGTTTTCATATATATATTTTCACCTCTGCACAATTCAGACTGAAGTATTTTCACAGATCAAAGCTGTCCTTCAGATGAGCCTGTTAAGTTCCCTATGGAAACAAAAAGCATTTCCTATTTTTAAGTCTGAGCCTTTTTCATTTAAACCACTGTTTAGTCAGTCCCACCAGACTAAAGGATGGATCCAGTGGTTAATAAGGGTAGCAAAAGTCAGACTTACTTTCCATTCTCTGGTATCATCTACACTGCAATATTAAAGGTTAGGTGTTTGTGTAGCGCCAAAGATCAGCACCTCAGCCACACATGTTCAAACATATACACAATGGAAGTGGCAAGGGACAATACACCCATTTACTTGGGGATACAGACTACAAAATCCAGATTTTTTACTTCTAATAAGGAAGTCTTTCCACAGTTTGAGTAAAAGAAAGGTGTTTAATACCTCTGCTCAGATGCAGAGGTGGAAACACTTACAGACACTTAGCTTAGAACTTCAGGTACAGAACCAAACACCCACCTCTTTCTAGGTACGTCATAGGACAAGAACTCAGTGAACTCCTTCCCAAGAGGAGATGCAAATAATTATTAGTGAGCAAAAGATTAGCAATCAGAAATCCTAGGCTTTGTCCCTGTCAGAAAAGAATTAATGTGGTTGACTGAAACCAGAGGATCCACAATCAAACCAGTTTAATCACTGTGGGTGTACTGGCTCCAGCTGGGATGGAGTTCACTTTGTTCAAAGCAGTGCCTATGATGCTGTAATGTGGATTTGTGACTAAAAGGTGCAGAAAACACACCAATCCTTTGTCTATGGCTGAAAAGTCCTTGCACAGCATCAAGGCTTTCTTCAAAAGGCTGATCTGCTGCTCACATTATTTTGTTCATAGTATTAAATATTTAACTTTTTCAGTCAGTCCCGTAAAACTTTAGTGGGTTTGAGTCATATTATTTGGTCCCTAAGTTATCTCAGGGGCTGCTCATGAAACCAGTCACTGATTTTTGAAGTTACTGCAATAAAAGAACGTAACAGATAGACTTGCTCTGAAATTCTTTTAAAGATTACCTGTCCGTAAATCAATACAAGGCAGAAGATTATTTCTGTGGGCATTTTGGTGGATATAGCAGAATTCCTTGACATAAAGTGCACAGTAAGCTAAACACTGAGCCAGTGAAGCTGCTGGGAAGGTCAGGAATAGAAGTGCGGTCCCTGGGGGTGTTTGTAGGCTGAGCTTTGCTCAGCACCACATCCAACCCCACATCCTGCTGGGCAGGACCTGGCTGCCCAATGTCCTCTGTGTGCACACACTTATGCCTGGGCAGGCTGGCTTGATTTGACCTTGATTACATAGTTTTTTTCCTAAGAAAGCCCAAGAGGATCTCACATTGCCGAAAGGGAAGGTCCTCTGTGCAGTAGGTATTTTTCCCTCTGCTTTCCGTACTGCCTAAGGAAGTAAGCACTTGTATTTGAACACCTCCCCTTTTCTGATAAAATGGTTTTCCTCACCTCTAAGATACTTGCCACTCTCACACGATGCTAAATGGAAACACTGTCATCTGCAAACAAAACTAGAACACACAGACAATGAAATATTGCTCACCACAGCACTGG